TCTCAGCCATGTCCAAGTACTCGAAGCTGGCCCGCGGGCTCTGCGACCTGCTGATCTGGGCGGCCCTCAGCGTGGCCAGCCTGCTGCTCCACAAGCTGGTGCGTCCCTTCCGGAGGGGCTTCTTCTGCGGGGACGAGTCCCTCAGCTATCCATACCGCGAAGGCACCATTGGCCACGAACTGATCATCGCCATCGCGCTGGGCGTTCCAACCGCCGTGATCGCGGTGGTGGAGCTTTTCAAGCAACTGCCGGAGGCGGGCGGCAAGGGTCGGGCGGACGGCTGCCGGATCGGCCACCGACTGGGCCACCTGTACCGGCAGGCCATCTTCTACCTGTACGGCCTGGCCATGGTCACGTTCACCACGATGCTCTCGAAGCTGTGCATCGGTCGCCTGCGACCGCACTTCTACGCCGTGTGCCAGCCCATGCTGCCGGACGGGAGTGGCTGCCAGGACGCCCAGAACCTGGGGCGCTACATCGACAGCTTTACGTGCAGCAACGCCAACATGTCCGACTTCCAGTTCAAGCAGCTCAACCAGTCCTTCCCCAGCGGCCACGCCAGCTTGGCGATGTATGCGATGCTCTACCTGGCCATCTACCTCCAGGCGGCGCTGAGCACGAGGGTCTCCAAGCTGCTGAAGCACCTGCTGCAGTTCCTCTTCGTGATGTTTGGCTGGTACGTCTCGCTGACGCGGATCACCGACTACCACCACCACTGGAGCGACGTCCTGGCGGGGGCGGCGTTGGGCGCGGTGTTCGCCTGGCTCACCACTGCCTACGTGGCCGACTTGTTCGTCGGTCGGCGGTGGCCCAAGGCCGGCTACTCGGCCAACACGCTGCGCAAGCCGCAGGTGTCGCCCAAGAGCTCCGCCAAGTCCCAAGCGGGAGGATCCACCGCTGGAGCGGCACAGCCGCCCGCCCTGCCGGCCTACACCTTCGGTACGCTGCCCTACCTGGCGGCCCACCCGGCGCAGGCGCAGGCGCAGTACGCCCAGACCTATCACAACTACGGCTACGTGCCCTGAGCCAACTGCCGGATTCCATTAGCAAATTGTAGCTTAGAGAACCCCACAAGCATTCACACATTCACAAACAAAGTCTTGCACGGAATCCCTGTTTTGTTGTCTGTATTCTAGCGAAATAAATATTCAAGTACGATACGAACACGAAGCTCGTTTCAGTCGGTAGAATGGCGCATCGAAGATTCGCTGAGTGGATCGGTGGAGTAGAAAGTGTTTTATCGACTGGCGAATGAGGCAGAACTACTGATACTTTCGAAAGTCGTGACCAAAAACCTTGCAGCTAGCAAATACATTTTTAGAATCCAAAGTCCGGGCTTACCTGCAAAGAGAAGAAGAACAGAAGGGCTTTGATTACAAGGTATTCAGCACATTCCGATGGTTTTACAACAGACTTATTCTAGGATATAATACAATTCAAACTCATATAGGTTGCAGATATTTACAGTTAGCCCTGCTTTTGTCCAGAAAGACTACAAGTTCAGGGCGCGCAAAAAACACCTGCCTAAGTGGAACAAAGAGCTTGATAGGTGCCAGACCTAGAAATTACACTAAAAAAAAATTTCTTATTTTATTTGAGAAAGTTATTTGAAACAAATGCTTTTGAGTAGAAAAATTGTAATTGGAAAGAATTAAAAGAATGTATAAGAAATAAAAACGATATGTCAAGATCTGTTGCTTTACAATTTACAATTAGAAATCAAAATCTAACCAAAACAACTTTAATATTCCCAACATTGTTTTCTTGAAACTCCCTTTTCGGATCTTGATAAAGGGAAATACAATTTAACATGTATCAAATTTTTGTTTGATTGTAGAATAAATTATTGGGGCCTTAGCATATTTAACCGATCGATAAGCTGGAGAGACCCACGGCCTGATCAGATGGAAAAGCAAAACAAAGGTTTGTGAAACAAGTTTGTGTGGCAGTAACCTCCAACACGGCTAGACTGATGGAAATGCAAATGAACTCGAACCAGGTCGGAAGAATCCGACAGCTTCGGTCCGCCCATTCTTCAGTGTGAAAATGTGCGGCAATCCGAACACGCGCTTGCTTTCTCGGCTCGTCATTGATTCCTGATCTCCTGGGATCTATGGAGTCGCTCTTGTGGTGCTGCCCCAGCAGTTGGCCACGGCCCAGCGGGGGTTCCACTGCAGCGATGCCAGCCTCAAGTATCCCTATCGCCAGCCCTGGCTGACCAAGGTCCACCTGACGATCGAAGTGGTGGCCCTGCCGGCGGCCTTTGTGCTCGTGGTGGAGATGCTCCGGGCCGCCGTGGTGCCCAGTTCCACGGAGCTGAAGCAGCGCTTCGTCTTCGTGGGCGTCCGCATCCCCAGCTTCATCAGCGAGTGCTACAAGGCCGTGGGAGTGTACCTGTTTGGACTGGGTCTGACCTTGTGGCCATACGGTTGACCAAGCACTCGACGGGCCGGCTGAGGCCCTACTTCTTCGACGTCTGCCAGCCCACGTGGGGTGAGCAGGGTGGGGAGAGCTGCTCCGACCTGTCCGCGGAGAACTCCACCCTCTACCTCGAGGACTTCAGCTGCACGGAGTTCGCTGCCTCGCAGGACCTGCTCGCTCTGGTGCGCCACTCCTTCCCCAGCGGATTTGTGGCCACAACCTGCTACGCCATGGGCTTCCTGATCTTCTACGCGCAGGCCAGGCTCTTTGCCCCCTGGCTGCGATTGGTTCGAGCCACCCTGCAACTGGCCTGTGGCTCGGTGGCCTTGGTGGTTTCCTGGGAGCGCATCTCTACCTACCAGAACCACTTGTCGGACGTGGCGGCGGGCGCTGCTCTGGGTGGGATAATAGCCCTCTTCGCCACCGTGTTTGTGGCCCACATTTTCGTGGAGGTGCGGGTGAAACGCCGACAGTGGCCAAGAAACGAGCAGATCTACGGCTATGCGGGGTACTACAACAGAGCCACTTACGGCTACTAATATATGATGGGTTTACTAGATTTAGCTATGGTAATAAAAAGCTTTTAATTTATGAACAGAACCTGTTTCTGCTTAATGTACTGCGGGGAAGGGTTCAAGTAAGGCGACTATACTCCCCCTACTCTAGCTCATTGGGTTGATCCGGATCCGATTTCGATTCGATGTCTCCATATTACATAAAAAAGAACACTTTGTTACCGAGGAAAACTACAACGACACCATATCGTTCAATTAAACGTGTGCAACCTAAGCCGGGAACAACTTCTTTGCGAGGGATAGTCATTAAAAACAAAACAAATCTTATAACGAAAGACGGTTGTTTATCTAACTGCTGCAATATCAAGCTTCTATAGAGTTTGGTTATGCGCCTGGACATACGGGCATGACATGGTTAACTGCTTTAGTAATCCTGATTCTTCTTCTTTTAAATTCCAAGTCGAAAATGGATCCGTAAATAGCAAACTTTTAAGTCGAAGCTACACATATGTTATATGACATATTTATTAATCATTTTTAAGATCCAACCTACCCCAATCGATCTGAAAGCTTTGAAGCGCAACTACTGCTGATAGCCGACAGCAGAACATAATTTTGGGTTAGCAGCGTTCCAAACCATTGATCGCTTACGATCCACTCAACAAGTGGTTTGGGATCGCCACTTTATAATATGGGAGCTGACCACCGTCCACAGACGCACTCTGTCTCTCTGCCCAAGTGAGTTTGGTCCCTCTCTCTAGATTGTAATCGCCGGTACAAGAACAGCTCTATAGATTTGTTTACAAAGTTGTTTGGTTTCATTCAGTCGCGATCGCGAAGCGGCGCTTGAAAGTTTACGGATCGGGTTAGAACGGGTTCCAAAAGTCGGTAGCCAGCGGCGTTCAACAAACAAATTGCCATACAGGTGGACAATTATTTAATTACACGGCTCGGTACGCGGTAGTGGAAATAAAAACAGAAACGTGATGACATAAAACTATAAAGCCATCGTAAAGGACCCATTAAATGTGAGTTAGTTGGGCCTCTGAAACCTGATGCACCTCGCAAGCTCAAAGTTCACAGGGCTCTTTTAAATAACTTTAAGCCATGGAAAAATAAATAGCGCCGAATAAGCGCCAGGGAGCACTCTTTTGAATGTGAAGGGTCCACAAAGTCCAGCTTACAGTTCGTATAAATATGCTGTGTAAGGGAAGTGGAGTCGAGGGAGGGCCAGAGATACATACTCGCAGAGGCAGGCCGCCTTAATTCAATCAAATGTCGCTTATTCATTCAATTAAAGGTCGCGCCATTTGACGACCCACTATGAATGCGTCTGTGAATACAAATATCAAAGCGAGTGAGTGTGTCCGAAGCTAAGACAGCGGCTCTGGGGTTGATTTGGTGCCCACTGTGACTTGTTTCCATTTTTTAATGTAATTGACAGTTAAACTTTGTGCACATGTTCGGAAGAAACTCCCACTTCAGGGATGTCATGCAGATCAGAGGCTCGGAAAGAGAGGGGGCCACAATGGGGGCCATTCTTGGCGAGAGATTAGCGAGAGCTGTACTGTGGATCTCCGCCCAAGCAGATCTGCAATTCTGCGGCCCCGATAATGCAAATCTTGCGCGTGAAGACGCGCCTATTCGACGGCTGGCTGCGCTAGAACAATAGTATGCCATTTAATGAGTAACCTGTGAGTCACTCCCCCAGCTTGTTGACCCGGTCTTATCGATGCTTCCCGCTCCTGTATGCCTTATCAAACACTTTTTAGATCTCTAGAAGACACCGGCTGGGGAACTGAGTAATCGCAAAAGCGCTGAATTGCAATGATATGGCACTAAAGAAGCTTTCGCCACTATCATTCACTCTCTAATTTATCTTATCAAAGTGATCTTGAGCTTGTTTGAGCAGCTGCACTGCGACAAATAAAACGTAACATGGGAATTCCTAATATTTGAATGCATTATATCTGGGCATTATGTATCTGTGTTCTGATCTTCATTACCTTGTGCATCTTTCATCTTTCAAGTTCGCAGTTTTAACCGATCCTATTTTTATTTCAGTGGCTTGTGGCTCTTGTCTTATCTGGTCAAGTGAATAACTGCAACTATACCTAGATCCTCACAGACGGATAATAACAGATCATAAACTGGCCATAAACAAATTGCTGTGGCGCGCAGAGTTTCAAAATAAGTTGAGTGAGGAGAGCGTCGGGGAGCTAAAAACAATGCCGGGAGAGGCCCGCCTATTGAATGAGCGTTAAATTAAAAGATCGTTACCCAAACGACGCCGACTCAGTCAGCCACTGACAACGAACCCGACGCCACGAGCGAACGCGACGGGTAAAAAACCAAACGAATCGAAACGAAAACCTAAAAAGCTAATTACCAGCGACCATAAAGGCCATTTGGAATATTAACTAATTAAAGCCAGCGAAATGCGCGACGCGACCGAAGATCAGCCCGTAGCCGTCTCCATGCCGGCCTCCGAGTCCGCCTCCGCTGGAGGAGCGCCGTCCGACCGCCGACTGCCGCGGCGTCTGCTCATGGAGCTCTTGGTGGTGGTGATACTCGTCATCCCCATCTGCGTGTACGAGTTCGCGGTGGATCCGGTGCGGCGAGGCTTCTTCTGCGACGACGAGAGCATCAGCTACCCGTTCCACGACAACACCGTCACGCCCGTCATGCTCGGCCTGATCGTGGGCCTCCTGCCGGCCGTGGTCTTCGTGGTGGTGGAGTACATGAGCCACCTGAGGGCAGGGGACATCTCGGCCACCGTGGAGCTGCTGGGCTGGCGGGTGTCCACCTGGTACGTGGAGTTGGCCCGCCAGTCAACCTACTTCTGCTTCGGCCTGCTGCTCACCTTCGACGCCACCGAGGTGGGCAAGTACACCATAGGCCGCCTGAGGCCGCACTTCCTGGCCGTTTGCCAGCCGCAGCTGTCGGATGGCAGCCTGTGCTCCGACCCGGTCAATCTGCACCGCTACGTGGAGAACTACGAGTGCGCCGGCGAGGGCTTCACCGTGGAGGATGTGCGCCAGGGCAGGCTCAGCTTCCCCAGCGGGCACTCCAGCCTGGCCTTCTACGCCATGGTCTACGTGGCGCTCTACCTGCAGCGGAAGATCACCTGGCGGGGATCGAAGCTGAGCCGCCACTTCGTGCAGTTCGCGCTGGTGATGGTGGCCTGGTACACGGCCCTCAGCCGCGTGATGGACCACTGGCACCACTGGTCCGACGTCCTCTCCGGATCGCTCCTGGGCGTGGCCGGCGCCCTGATTACCGCCCGCTTCATAGCCAGGATGTTCGACGAGGGGGTGGACAGCATCCTGACCAGGGGTCTGCGGAGGGAGAACACGGCGGCCACGCTGCAGGAGGAGGTGTGCCCCACTACGCCGCCGCCCTACTCCGCGAACAGCAGCTTCAACGAGGATCAGTACTGCTCGAAGGTTTAAGATCGAACCCTCGCAGTCATGTAAATTCGAAACATTCCAAAGGTAGCAATAAAGAATAGATGTACCAGCAGCCCGTGTTGAATCTGTAGTATCCAAACCTCGTTATAGAGCATTACAGTTAGGAATCACCCATTTGTATAGTTCGTATGAGTCTGTATCCGCAATCCCATCTTACGTATAAGTCACCGTATTATTTGTGTATTTAATTGGTACCAGTAAAATAAATAATTATAACGAATATAACGCATACTCCCACTGTGTTATTTTAACCCAATCCATTGTTTGCGTACTCGCTTATCTGTACTCATTACTACTTGTTTGCGGAAATTTCACATTTCAATGTCACACTTTGACGATCACCAGCAGTTGTGAGTCTGCAACACCTTTTTCAACCTTTTTCATTAAAAGCAACCTTTTTGACGATTTGTTTTGATCCGACGAAAAATAATATTACCAAAATTCTTGGTAAAAAATGCAAATGTTTTGTTAGCTTTCAAAATGTTTAACTTAAAAAATTAATTTAATTTAAAATTTAAATTCAATTATGAAATATTTTTATCCAAAACATTGCTTGTTTTTATCGGTCAGTATTTCTTTTACATTTATTCTTTTCAAAACAGCGTGAGAAATAATTGTAATTACACAATTCATAGTACTAAATTATTTATAAAAAAAACTTACTTATTCAAAGCTTCCCGGAAAATACGTTACTCATGAACGTTTATTTTTATTAATTGTCGATAAACCATATTTATTTCGAAAATGACCAACCAGTGAACAATAGTATGATGGGGTTTTCTATTTTCGATATTCTACAAACTGATGAATAATTCCTTGAGTTAAAAAATAAATAGCTAAAACATGCGATGATACTATTTTTATGAACACGAGTGTATAATTCTAGCTGGGAGAATTCAACTGACTCCGATTTTCGCCAGTGTTGCATACCTGGCTGCCCTGGCTACTGGAGTCGGTTGGAATGTCTGCTGGCCATGATTCATCCTCGATTTTTTGATATTGTGCTGCGTCAGAGGTGCGCAGCAGCAAGAGGTCGGCTTCTCCCGAAATTCGTCTGCGATGATCGTGAGAAGACGCCACTTCTCGTAGAATTCATTCAATTGGTGAACCTAGATCGTGAATCAAGCGATGCTAATCTGATTTTGGGGGACCCCTGACCCACCAATTAATAAAATTGGAAGAGAGCGCGGAGAGCCTGTTTGAGCTTTCGAAAGCTTTTCGGGGCATTCTGAGCTTCGGGCTACGTAAGCATGAGATCTGGAAGCCGTAGTAAACAGCAACTCGCGTGTTTTGCCGCCGACCATTTCAGGGCCAGACGGGGAAATCGCATCGATAATAGCGCCAGCACGTGCGTGGCAACAGGGCGATTGCCCGCAGAACAGCTAGATGGACGCATTGGGTGGATGGGGACTTTGTTTTTCGACCCGGGGCTTCCTCCCGACGGACAGTACTGTCTACGTCAGCCCGAGCCCCTTTCGGCTGCAGTCTAATAATACAATCAGTGACAACAATAAGAATTGTTTATTAATAATCCGCGTCGAGTGGGCCAGAGCCCAGATTGCTGGGGGCTGTTGTCCGACTTCGACCCGAGCCGCAGATCAGTGACTAGTGGGCTGTTGTATCGATCGCACGCAATCCGGAATCTAGAACCCGAGATGAGTTTCAGTCTAAGCTTCCGGCCGCCTCTCCGCCTGCTGGTGGACATTGTCCTGCTGGGCCTGGTGCTCGTCCTGGTGGAGAACTTCGCCCGCTTCTGGGGGCCGCCCACGAAGCGCGGCTTCTTCTGCGACGACGAGTCCTTGATGTACCCATACCACGAGAACACCGTGAGCCCCGCCCTGCTACACTGGCTGGGCCTGTTCCTCCCGCTGATCGGCCTGGTCGTCCTGGAGAGCTTCCTCTGCTACCGGGCGGAACGTCCTACTGGCGGGTGTTCAACACGACGCGCTGGTTCCTCTACGGCTACGCTTTCAACGACCTTCTCAAGAGCATTGGCAAGCACACTATCGGCCGACTGAGGCCCCACTTTTTCGAAGTGTGCAGCCCACAGTTCCCAGACGGGAGCAGCTGCTCCGATGAGGCGCTCCGCGGAGTCCTGAAATACCAGACGGACTACGACTGCCGGCCCGATCTGTCCGGAGCCAGCGAGGAGATGATCCGAGACGTCCGCGTGTCCTTCCCCAGCGGCCACTCCGCCATGGCCTTCTACGGCCTGGTCTTCGTGGCGCTGCTCCTGCGACACCGCCGCTGGCCCCTGCCAGGATCCCTGCTGGGCCCCGTACTCCAGCTGGCCTGCGTGTGCCTGGCCTGGTTCGTGGCCCTCAGCCGGGTCATGGACTACAAGCACCACTGGTCGGATGTTGCGGCCGGATCGCTGCTGGGGGCCGGCACCGCCTTTGCGGTCATCCGGGCTGCCGCGCTGGAGGAGCAGCGAAGGAGGTGCCAGGATGCGCAGGCGAGTGTGAAGCAGGAGGCTGTGGTGGCCGAGGGCGGCGCAGCCAAGGGTGTCCAGCAGATGCCGCATGACTTGTGTCTGGTTTCGTGCCAGAGCTCTAATTAGTCGGTGCCCTCTGGCACTGCAGTGCTGTTAGTTTAAGGTTGACAATAAAGTTAGTGACAAGGGAGCCTCAGCAGTTGTTCTTGCGGTTGGAGGGGCAGCTGTTCAAACCCCGATCAATTAATGCGCATCTCGTGCCGAGTCGGTGGAAACTGGAAACAGCGAGATCAATCAAGCGGTTGATCGCTGAGTTAAGTAACAGAAAACAGTGATTAGCTTAGCTAATCAACATACTTTTTTCACTACAACCTGCGGTTTTCTCAATTCAATGCAATTTAAATTCTTTTGTTCAACCTTCTTCAAATCTAGTATTTACTCGCTATAGCGGAAAGTATGTATTTTTTTTATGGCTACCTGTTAAGGCTATGTCAATATTTGGATGGAGTGACTTGCACTTACTTTCAGAGGTATTTTGTAAGGTGGATGGGTGTTTATGTTCTTCCCGGGGATTTTTATCGGCTTATTTGGGGTACAAAAATAGATTTCGTAAGAAGTGAAGGTCCCAGACGGCTTTCAAGCAAATCTCAACTATCTCCCCCGTGTGACGTAGAAAAATAGCAGGAAATACAAAACAAGCTACCTAAATATGATGCGATTGGCTTTGTTGTTGTGTTGACAACGCGCTAAAAATTAGCGGCTCCTTCAGATTCATTAGCAGCGAGTTTTCGAACGACTTAGCCCCAGTCAACAAGTCTGGCCTGAACTGAAGGGAGGTATAAATAAATTTCAGCAGCCAGCGCATAAATTGGGAAAAGGACCCAGAGCAATCTCCTCGCTGATGATGATGCGCAACACCTGGAGCCAGGAACAACCCAATCCGAGGTCGGATTTGCGACCTGGCCCACTCCGAACCGCTCATCAGGTGGGGAAGGGCGCCTGGGCCGCAGCTTAATTGGCTCATTTATTTTAATGGCAAAGAAAATGCTGGGAAATTGTGGTTATTTTTTCCTCGCCCCTGCGACTAATTCCGCCGCGTGTTCCCTCCCCCTTCCAGCTTTTATTATGATTAATTATGGCTCGCATACACAGGAAAACTGACCCAAAGCTCCACTTTCTTGCCAACTTTTGCAACTGTGTCAAGTTGTTTTTGCCGCTCTCCTGCTGCCTTTGTTGTTGTGTGCCTCCAGATTCGAATGATAAATTTCTATGCCATTTATTTTAATCTGCAGCGACAGTTCCTGCCGCACTAGCCCTTTCCCTGCCCCCCCGCCAGCTAGTTTTCATGCGTTAATTAAATGGAAAATATTTGCATAACAGGCAAGTTTAGCTGCAATCCGAAACAATGACCCACATCCGCATTGGCTAAAGTTTTGTTTTGTTTACCCGACGCCGGCTGGAACTTGGAACTTAGTTCCTTGGGAGTTCATTAGGCAGCTGGAGGGAGTGCTCCGTGCGACAGGCTAATTGCAAATGGTCAGGCCATCTGGGGGAACAGACCCAGACCTGTCTCGGTTTAATCCCTCCCCGACCTTTGCCATCAATCAAAGCCCTTGATCAGCTCGGACTTTCTATCAATCGCAGCAGCACATGAAATTTAAGAGCTCCGCTGTCGTCGAGTCTCTAATCACCGCCAGGTGTGATAATGCGGCCAGTCGGTGTCTGGGTTCCGTCCAGTCCGGCAGTTTGTCACTCCGCATTATCTGCCCCGTCTGCTGTTCCGTCGTTTTCAGAACGGGAACGAGAACGATGTTCTGCTGAATTTTTGCATGGCTGTTTGCTCAACAAAATATCCCAAAGCATTTCGGGGATTTTCCACTCATCCTGCTGCTGCCGTTGTCGTTGCTGCAACATGCGCTTCATATTTCTGCGGTTGCCGTCCTGCACCTCGCCCTGGTCCTGGTCCTCGTCCTGGTGCTGCCCAGCTCTTCCACTTGCTATTTGCCATCAGCAGTCATCAGTGTTTCCCTTCCGAGCCCAGGACCAGACCAGAAGACCCCATCACTCCGCTCAGCCCTGCTTCAATCGTTGGCTTCATGTGTGTAAAGACAATTTGATAATCGCAAAATGCAGCATAGTTTGAGTTAATGAAGCTTGTGTGCCATGTGTGCCACCTTCGGATGGCATCCCTTGGCAGTGCCAGTCCAGCCAGAGGACTCTGTCGTTGTCGTTGTTTGTTGGACAACAACCGGAGCGTTTTGCTTGCCAATTAGTAATTTGCTTGCTGCCCGGCTAGGGAACGGTTGGCCAGAACAGGCTAGACTGCTCGGTCTGTCCCTGACAACCTGAGGGAGTTTCAAAATACTATGCTGGAGGTGGGAACCGGCCTCGGCTTATGGAAGGGGCGACACCAGCTTAAACTGGCTTAAAGGTCGGCCACCTGGCACTGCTTTAATCTGCGAGTTGCGGGCTAAGTATTGGAGTAGATAAGTTACTTGATATATGTATAACTCCTCTATATAAAACTATATCCACTTATAACTATTAGGTGTTGAATATTCGGTGGTATTTGAAGGTACTCGTAACATGTGTTGTAAAGTTGACAGTCTGGCAACTCTTAAATGTTAAGTAGGGATGTTAGTCGCATTATCAAGTTATCGAGTGCAACCCTAGCATATAAATCTGCACATCAGTTTTCCTAATATAGAATGTTTAGGGATTCTGATGGAAGCAATTCATTTCCCATTGTTGCACTCTTTTTCAATTTGTTTAAATTAATTCCACAGGCATGCTCTGA